CAGTGGTCAGGACACTGTTGCTGGTTTTACTGACTCTGGTCATACTAGCACAGGTGTGGCTAGCAATCAGAACAGTGCTACTGATTCTGGTGACACTGGCACTGGTGTGGCAGCAATCAGAACACTGGTGCTAGCATACACTGGGACTGGTGTGGCTAACACTCAGGACGTTAATGCTTGTTTACACTGGTCTGGCGACACTGAAACTGGTGTGGAAGGAATCAGGAATGCTGTTTCTAGCTGCACTGATCTGGTGTCACTGACATTGGTGTGGCAGTGACCAGGAACACTGTGTCTGGCTTGCACTGGTCTGGTGACTCTGGGATTGGTGTGACTGTGATTGGGAAAACTGTTGCTGACTTCATCAATGACACTGGTGTGGCAGCAATCAGGGACACTGGCTGATGGCACTCCTGACACTGTCCTGCTGTTACATGACACCAGTGTTGTAATAAGAAGAAATTGCACCCTCCTCACCACAGAGTACTGTTGCCATGTCTGGAGAGGTGACAAGTCAGCTGCATGAGTGATGAGAAGTCTTATATATAATTATATTTCCCTTCTACAAATTAAATAGCATTGACATGGTTGCAGAGAAAAGAAATTGAAATTTTCTAGCAATTTTGAAACTCCTAACTGACTGCAGATTGAAATGGAAAGGTATTTAATATTAAAGTAGACTCAATCACTAAAATGTTAATACTATTTTAAAAGTAATTTTCAATATTCTGAAATCTGCAACTTTCTTTAAAGTAATACCGTCTGATCTTGCCAGGAAGGCCCTTTTGCGGGCACTTTCAGGGCCAGTATGTTCTCATGCCGTGCATTTTGGCAGCCCATACATTTGAATGGGCTACAAAACGCACTATACGGCAGAAAGAGTAGTCTTTGCATTACTTTTAAAAACACACTGCACCAACCAACAGTACCATGCAATTTGATGCAGAATGTTTTTTAAAAGTAGTGCATGCACTACTTTTTTTGTGCTCTGGTGCAGTTTCAGCCAATTCAAATGAATGGGCTGAAAGCCGCACTGCATGGGAACACACAAGAATCACACAGGAATGTGCACTTTGGGTTTGCATTTGCTTTAAATGACAAAATGGTTTAAGTAGAGACATATGTCTTATTTTTTGTTGTGAAAATTGAGATTTGCTTAAATATTTGAAATGACAAAAAAAATGTTCTAATTAAATCACCAGACATCTGGAAATGAAATAAGATTTATTTTATTGGCAACCATTATATAATGAGTCAGTTTATAGCTAAGTTCTGTACCTCTGCATAGAGTTTGAGATCAAATTTTTGGTAGCTTCTTAGGATGTGACATTCCCAGCTAAGGGCTTAGGTTTAGTACACTGAGAGTTTCTTCTGTAACAAAATGCTGGCAGTCTTTTTTTTATTATTATTATTATTATTATTATTATTAAAATACTCAACCTCCCATTTAGCATTCATTGTGAAAGATTCACATTCATTGTGAAAGTGCATTTGTAGAGCCTATCTCTCTCTTTCAGACAGGCGGCAGTGCTTACCACCCTCTGAAAAGCTGGCTTGCTTAAAACAGCAGCTGATTGCCATTCAGAAGGTGCTACCTCTGCCTCCTGATGATTTTTTTTTAAATTGCCAATCATTGAAGGAGCGCACCATAAACTGATTAATCTCAATCATTGATCTCAAGTGGTCCACGTTTCTGTGCGATTCCTGTGCGTTCCCCTGTAGTGTGATTTGGCAGCTCATTCATTTGTCATAGTCATGACAATGACTTTAAATTCCAAGCAGATAAACGTCAACGGCTTTTGTTAAGAGGGTATTCTAAAGCACTCTCAATGTACTTAAAGCCTATAACATAGCATTCCGACAACCTGGAACATCTTTACTTTATAGGCCCAACTCAAGAGGGGCTTCACAGTCACATTTATTACAAAGTTTTATCCCAGCATTATGCCCTATTAGGAGTTTGTAAAACCACTGCACCTGCTTTTGGAGGACCCTATCCTCAACAAATATATTGGAAGGAAACCCAAAATAATGCCTAGGAAGACTGCATCTCTTCATGACAAACTAGCCAATAGCCACTATGTGTCCCATTCTACACCTGCGGCCTCACCTAAAGGGATCTTCTGGTGTATTTTTTGTTCCTGGATTAATCCTGGTACTTTCGCCCCAAATACAGAAGACGTTGTATATCTAATGACTTGTAAATGCAGGGCGTTTTACGTAGGAAAAACCATCAGAAAGTTGCAACAAAGGCTAAACGACCACATCTATTATTTGGCCAATGGCAAAATAGTGACACCAGTGAGTAAACACCTTGATCTATATCATAGATTAGATAGTACATGGGTTTCTTTCATTGTGTTGGAAGCCATTCCAAAAGATCCCAGAGGCGGCAATTGGGATAAACGCATTTTGCAAAAGAGACCTTTTTCCTTTTTAAATGCAGTACGATCGCCAAGGATCAATGAAATAATGTCCTATAAACCATTCCTGTAGAATTAGGAGATACATAACATACAAATCAGGGAACCCACTAATGGGTTTTTTTTTCTGCCACTATTTATTTTTAATAATACAGAATACAGGATAGTGTGTCTAAATGGTTTAATAAATTTAGAGTACAGAGTTTGCTTTTATTCTAGGGATTTTTATTGTTTTTTTTATATAATATGTATTGGCCTTTGTATACCATTCAGGTGGCAATGAATGTTATAATGTTTTTAAAAAATGAATAAATTTTATATGTTTAGGCAGTTGAAAAGTTGCTGATCATCTGGAAGTCTCTGTGGCAACTCCATTGTCATAATGTTTGTTAATTTACTACACAGGTATGGAGTTGGCTGGTGTTTGGAAATTGGCTGGGTCCCATGTCTCTATGTTATTCTCGACAGTGAGAATGGACTGCTGGCGCCTAGGGGCACCAGCTGGGGCTGTTGTCCCAGCATGGAGCCTCTCATGGTCACGTTCTGTCCTTCAGTATGGGCACCGTCCTCCATCATCCTCGGTGGTGGTGGGGATAGTGTGCGGGGCACATGCACAATCATACATTCCTGGGCCCTATGATGTCACATGCCGCGGTCGGGACCCTTGCACTTGAAAAACAGAATGGTTGGCCGCACAACCAGCAATGTGGTGGATGAAATCCTTTATTGGAATCCTTTTATTGCAATATCATAAGAACATGACAGCTCCAACACAGGACAGAGGAGCAGTAGACGTGTTTGACATGAAGACGTGCCTGGTCATGACCATGCACGTGTTCATGTCAAACGCGTCTACTGCTCCTCTGTCCTGTGTTGGAGCTGTCATGTTCTTATCATATTGCATGTAAAGGATTCCAATAAAGGATTTCATCCACCACATTGCTGTTTGTGCGGCCAACCATTCTGTTTTTCCATTGCATCTGTGATCACGGATCGGGCCAGCACTTGCGTGTCTGTGGAGGGGTTATGCAGATTTGGCACTCACCTGGAATGGATCTTTTGCTCTTTCAGGCAGTTGGGATCCTTATAATGAGAAGGATCTTTGGTAGCTCTGGCAAAGAGCTGATGGTTCTCATGGATGGTTCTTGCATATAATGGCTAGGTATGTACTACAGCTTGTCTATGTTGTCAATGTGGCAGTATTATAGGAAGGTTCACTGTAAGCAGGCTTCATTGATTAGTACCCTTTGATGCTAATTGAAATCTTCCCTTGCAGGTGATCTATCTATGACTTTCTGCACTATGGTGGCATTAGAGGTACAGTATAGAGTTACTACAGCTTGCATTGTTCGGAAGAGATGAGTCCTATGCGCATCTTTTGAATCATACCCCTGCACTATGTAATTTAGTTTCAGGAGTTGAGGTATAATGGTGAGGTTCTAGCCTGTCCAAATGGGGGATTATGAGGCCCTGTATAATTGGTGATTTTGTAGATGCTAACTGAAATCTTCCATTGCAAGTGATATATATATATATATATATATATATATATATATATATATATAAACTTTCTGCAATTGGTGGCAATAGAAATATAGAGTTACTGCAGCTTGTGCTGTTGCGAAGACACGAGTCCCATATGCATCTTTTGAACCATACCCTCGTATTTAATACTGTAGTCCCAGAAGGCAAGTTACACTGGTGACATTCTAAATGGGGGGTGAGAAGGGTTCCCTGTGCCCTGAATTAATGGGGGTTTATTATTATAGCAGTACTAAATGTACAGTATACATGTTCTATAGTTCTTTTCAGGCTGTAAAATGACTTGGATGCAGAATAGAAAAAAAATTCACTCAAGGCCTCCCTCCACCCTAGTGCCAGATATGTAAGTGCATAATGGTCTCACATATGATTGTTAGTTGGGAAATGTAAAAAACCCCACTTGAACTAATGCATATATCACTTGTGTTCTCAGAGCTCCTGATCCCTACTCTATTTGGGTCCCCGCAATCCGTTGTTGGCACAAACACATCACCATCACCTGGATGTGTAAATGTACTTAATGGTCTTTGTAAGTGAATATATTGTTGCCTTGGCAACATTTTTCACTTTTGTCATCTAACAATGTTATGTATATGGTTTTTGTATGTTATTTGTATAATGGTTGTATTCTTTGCCCATGTAGAAACATGTAACACAGCTCCTGAAGAAGCGATGCTTATTGCGAAACATGTAGATCTCCGACCTAAATACATCAAGAAGCTCCACCAAGCACCTAGCCAAGGGATGGCCGAATTACAATACAGGGGACCTTGATAGTACTTGGGCAGTCCAGAAAGGCTTTTTAATACGTTGTAATTATGGATATGATTACTGTTTTATTTGTAAACTCTCAATAAAATTGTAATTTTTTTAATGTGAATTGTAGTGCCTATAAAGTCCAGGAATCCAAGAATTTCCTAGTATAGCTCATTCATTTGAATGGGCTGAAATCGCACTGGATTGCACAAAAAGTAGTGACTTGATAGGGAAATTGCATATTGCATATTTCCTTATTTAAAGTGTTATTAAACCCAGGACCCTGCATGCACTATATCTGGTCTCCCACAGTACACATAACACGGAAGTGCAATTCCTTTAGTAAATATAACAAGGCTAAATACCTTTTCTCATCAGCCGTATATAGCAGTCTTGTGACTTCTATCAGTCTCCAGTCAAGCACTGGTTAAAGCTTATAGGAGTTTTCATTTTGCTCTAGGAGGATGCAGAACCCCTGACCTCTGTCTGGACAGTGCTGATTGGCCCTGTACTGATCACATGCACTCTCCCAAGGGAAAAAAAAAAAAACTTTCTAGCAATACACACCAAACTGAGCATGTGCAGAGTGACTCCACACGATATGTCTTATCAGGAGATAAGAGGGGGGCACTGGAAGAAAGGGAGGATCAGAGAACTCAGGATTAAACAGCATTTTTACACAGTGCAGACGATTAACCCCTTAGGTTCCACGATGAGTGTAACAAGCATACTTTACTGCATATACAAACTGATTTTACTGTTGTGGGTTTAGTAAGTTGTCTAGTTGTCTTACAATACTTAAGAATGCCTCCAAGTCTTGGTTAACCTCCTTAGCGGTATTCCCGAGTGTAGCTCGGGGTAACATTTCAGTACCAAAAGCGGTAACCCTGAGCTACACTCGGGAATACCATGCGGCACTGCTCCGGCATGTGTTCTTCACTTACCTTACCCTGCGCTCCCACGATGTCCCCCCTGCAGCGTCCCCCGGCCATCTCCTCCGGCCGATGCCGGCATCCGGCTTCTGTGTCCTGTCCCTGTGACGCCGGGACGTACGGGCGCCGCCGCCGCCGCCGGCGGGAAATTTAAAATTTTTTAAAAATGTCATTTTTTTTTTTTTACATTTTACATAGTAAAACATTGCTGTCTCAACCAATTTCACATACATTTTGTCCCTAGTGCTTTGTCCTGTGCCCTGCCTGCATTTTGTCTGTTCTTTCTGCCTGGAAACTGAGAAACATCCATGGCATCCAAAAAGTGTCCCTTTAGGTCAAAAGCGGTTTAGATCAGCTAGAGAACAGCGATAGTAAATCAGAACCACTTGCAGAATTGAGTGATAATGATTCGTGGGGAAATTCGTCATCAGACACTGAAAACGATTTTGCAACTGAGCTCAGCGATGTGCGAACTTGGCGCTATATTTCAAATTTCAGTGTTTTTGGTTTGATTATATTATTGAATTAAATTTTTTATTATTTTTATATTATTTTTATGATTATTTATTAAATTATAATTTATGATTTTGTGTTTCAAATTTTATCATACCCGGGATGTTTACTAGACTCTTGTTCGGACAGATTTCAGTGAGTTATTCCTAAATATTAAAGGCCTACAATTAAAAAAATACATATTTCCATGCAAAAAAATGGTACCGCTTTCAGCACCAAAAATCTGAAATAATCATACCGCCAGGGAGGTTAAGGGGTCATACAAAGACAAAGTCTGGTTACCTTAGCTGACTCATACCAAAAGAATGTCACTGCAAATTGACCAAGTTGTTAAAAGGTCACATTGTTGCTTGCAGAGGGGGTTGGCCATTCTTTACACACAAGTCCTATATAACACAACTAGAACTTGCAATAACTGTCTCGTCTCTGAGCTGCCATCATGCATGTGTCTGATCCCCTGTGCCACGCCATAATGGAGGGACCCGTGGCAGAAACAGCATCTTTGGTTACGTCCTTCCTTTTATTTTCTAACATTATTTGTTGTCTGTATCTGTCACTATTTAATTAACTGTTATACTTATAAGTATGTGTGTGATCGCTCTTTGCACATATTAATTACAACCCCAAAAACGTAAACTATTGCGTATCCATGATAAAATATGAATGCACTACTTTTGAAAAAAAATCCAGCACCACATTCCATAGTAATGCAGTACCATGTGATCTGGTGCTCCCAAATGCACTGCAATTGCAGTCTGTGTTTGTGGTGCTGCTAACAATGTATTGGTACCTGTAACAGATAGCAAAGGTAATGCGCTTTGAATGTGGCACGTGAAACGTGCATGGAGCGCTTCTTTCTAGCACCATGTTCTATTTTAAACCGGCCCTTAAAGAAAACCAATGCTTTTCTCATACAGGCTCACTGTTATGACAGCCCCATCAGTTGCTTTTACTCTTTGCTCCTCTACCAGCAAAACAGCTGGAATTCTTATATATGGGGAGTATGTTACCCAAACCTCAGCACTGGTGATTGGCTGCTCAGACACCCAGTGCCATCACGTGGGAGGAGGGAGAGAGTCCACAGCCCTGTGTAAGATTCCACTGGTGGCTCAGAGTATACAGAGGGCTTCATTGGTCCCAGTCTTGGCTCAAAGCCACAAAGCTAAGGCACAGGCTCACATTTATTTTTTATGTATTTATCTCAGGTACTTATATAGCACCATCAATTTACGCAGGGCTATACATATATATATATATATATATATATATATTGTACAGTACATGCACTCTCTCAATTAGCATTAACTATTGTTAATCCTTATGCTGTTAGCATTGGTAAATAGATAGGAGAGTATATTATATTTACTTGTTTTAAACTTTATTATTACATTTCTTCAGTTTCCGGCATAGGCAAATGATGTCATACATCCCAGGAGTCTTCAGGAGGGGTTTTCTCAGCTAAGCACACCCTCCTGTCAGTATGTCTGAGTGTCCGAGCTAAGGGCAGAGGGATTCCAGAAAGTAAATGCTACATGAATCATCTGACCTTACTCAAAATGGCTTTGGCCAGAAATGCTGGGGGTGGGGCGGTGGGTTTCAAAGCATGGAGACATGGGGGAGATTGCTTTGAATAATAAAAATGAATTAAGTAGCATTTTGGTTTGTGCTGTTCAGATGCAGTGTAGTTGCACTTTAAAGCGGAGTTCCACCTGAAAAAAAAAAAAAGCCAGCAGCTACAAAAACTGTAGCTACGGACTTTTAAAATACAGACACTTACCTGTCCCTTGGTCCAGCAGTGTCCTCACCATGGCTGGTTTCACTGGCCATCTTCTCTCCCTGGTGCCGGCGTCTTCAGTGTGGGCATCCAACTGTGACAGCTTGTGGCTTCACAGCCAGGTGCCCACTGCGCATGCACGAGAAGCGCTGCGCTTTGTGAATGGCCCGTAGTCTTCTGGGACCTGTCACTTGTCACAGAAGGCTACGGGGAGAACAACTTCCGCTTCCGATTGCCTAGGCCAGGGGTAGGCAACCTGCGGCTCTCTAGCTGTTGTGGAACTATATTTCCCATGAGGCATTGCAACATTACAAAACTGACAGTTACAGCTGGAGAGCCACAGGTTGCCTACCCCTGGCCTAGGCGATCGCAGTATAAGTGGGAGTGGGTACCTGTCAAATTTGGGTATCCGCTCCCCAAAGGTGCCAATCCTTAATGGGGAGCAGGGGACAAAGGCGTAAAGTGGAACTTCCCCTTTTGGGTGGAGCTCTGCTTTAAGGTTCACAACTCAATGAATCTAAAAGAAAGAAACATTCAGACTTTTATTGCTTACCCCTCCTTCTGAAACTGTTGGTCGCCTGGCTGTCATGCTGACCCCAATAATCAATAAAACCTTTGAGGCAAAATCTTTAGTTGTTCACACCATTTATGTATCCACATATGTTCTGAATTCTGACCCCCTACTCCAGTGCCTTGTTGGTTGAAATAAGGAGAACATGAGTGACAGCTCTATCAGTCAAAAGCAAAGAATAGCATTAGACAAATATTATCCTGTGATGTATCATTGCGATTCCATGTTTAATGTGATCTGTGTCATTTTCATTATACGCTAGATGCTCCCGTTCTAGCCGGATTAGAATTGATATCTTGCTGTAATATTGATACCCAAGCAGTTGGTTTTTAAGGAGTTTATCTGGGGACAGGGAAATTCCACCTATGACAGCCCCTATACTACTTACAGTATTCCCACCCAATAAAGCATTGCTGAGGGTCTGCTCGTGGCTCACTCATGGATTCTTGATAGGTTTAATGGCTGTAAAGTTGGAGGAAAGCTGGAGGAGGGAGCTCTACTGTCCTTCAGTCCACCGGGGAAGGACAGCCTGCATAGCTTGGAAAAGAACCAACCCAGCAGAAGTCCTGAAAGCAGTTCTATCCATAGCTGCAGCACAAAGACAGCATGAGTACCTTTACACCCCCAGGGCTTATATGGGAGAAATCTGCTAGATGCAAGTTCTTGGCAATTCTTCAGGGAACAGTGTACTGCTTACCCAATCCCTTGCCTTGGGATCAGATACTGTAGCCAGGTGGGCTGTTATTTTTCATTAAGGGGACCGAGAGCTCATGCAACTTGGGACTTTGCTGCAAAAAACCCACTCAGGGGACACTAGACTCCTAGAAGGGAATCACTTTGCTAAGGATTGCTGTGGTTAGGGCTGGAACACAGTCAATTGTCTGTCAGTTTTAATGTATGCAAAGATCCTCATTTTGTTATTCTTCAATCAAGTTGGATATCCCATAACCCTTTTACCCTATTCAAAGTGATTTCCCTAATAAAATCTAAAAAAACAAGCCCATGGACTGCTTTTTGTGTCTGAAAAATGCGTGTTGCCAGGCTGTGCAGAAAATAAGGGGGGCCCAAAACCAGCAGCTCTCAAGGGGGTAGCACTACATATATTTTAAAAAATGTATAATTATTTTTAATAAAGCAATTGTATCAGACAGTTACACTATTAAATAGAAGACAGCCACAGATGAACACTGCAGCCTGAAGGTGGCAGTGTTTATTTACTGACTGAAAACTTTAATATTTTTCAGTGAAGCCTCCAGCTAGCATGTGATCATTATGTCATAGCAAACAGTGATCATATGATCGTAAACCACTCAATCACTGACAGTTTGGACCCGAGCTGTCAGTGACAGCAGGGATTTAGAATTAGGAGCTGCTAAAAAATGACAGAAATACAGACAAACAGGAGCCTACAGAGTGTCAACCAGACCTTTGCTGCCATTAGTTTCTCCAACTTTTTTTTAATTGGTCCCCCAGGAGCTATTAGCCATAATGTGCTAAGATGCATTACATATTAATGCATTATGGCAGACTTACCTGTCCCTGTCAGCGCACCCACTGGTTACAGGTGATTTCATTTTCTTTCATTTCATGGTAGAGAAGGGATGTTATGCTTTGCCCCTTCACTAGAAACCAGTTCCCCACATACTGGGACTGGATCTGCGGCACAGCAT